TCAATAAGTTCTTCAAATGCACATTGCACACCTTCTTTGGTTTTTGCACTTGCCTCGATGAATAAAGCTCGGTGGCGTTTAGCAAACTTAAGGCCTTCTTCACGAGATACTTCACGATTTGGCTGGAAAAATGAAAAGAGCTTAGATGCACACTGTAGAATATATGTGGAGTATCTAGATGAGGCAAAGATAGGTGTTATACTGTAACATCAAACATCCTTTCCTAGTAGAGACAACTCAGAAAGGCTAACAAAGATTGAAAGTTACTATAAGAAAAAGTTTTCATGAGAGAAATTCTTATACGCCATTCGTGGTTGATCACGGGTATGGATAAGCATCGTGACAGAGCAAGTAGTAGCGTGAAATCCCAAAAAGAGAGTTATATTCTGAGGTGTACCCTCCAATAAATTATTGGCTCCACGTCCCCTCAATAAACTCTAGAATTATGGATTCCATGAAAGCCGCAAAAAAGGTTTGTCTTGCTGATTACAAATATCATTTCCAGTCCAGTCAAACGCTTGTGGAATTATCGTAATATACTCTAGGACAAACACATCACAACTGTGCTACGATTGAAATATTCACTAATATAAAAATAATCACTTTTGCAAAGTGAGCAAGCCAAAAAATAGGACAACTGCCTTACGACTCCTTCAAGAACTGCCTAATTGCGATGGCTACCACTGCAAACAGCAAACCCATGTGTCAAATGGATATGATAATTCTAACAGCCTATCAAATAACATTGTTGAATCTCGACTCGGACTCCTCACCGTATCTGTATGATCGCTACTAAGGAAATATTTTTCGAATCTAAAGTCATTAAAAAACTATCAAAGGACTTGGGTAAAGAGAAGATGTTGCAGAGAAAAGCGCAATCAACACCTACCATATCGATTTTGTTCCCTACTATCATCTTGACGGCGTCTCCTTTAGTTATGTAAGTCTCCACTTCAGTCATCCAATGGTCAAGATTTTCGAAAGAGCTGCGGTTGGTCACATCGTATACTACAATTATTTGAGTTAGTACAAGTAAGATAGAAGAAAAATAGAGATGCGAATCCAGACCTACCACAAATCACACCCTGTGCCCCTCTGTAATAGCTCGGTGTGAGAGTTCGGAATCGTTCCTGTCCGGCAGTGTCCCATATGGCCAATTTTACCCGATTACCATCAATATTCATCGATGTCACTCGGAAATCCACACCTATAACTCCTCGATTACTTTGTGTTAGAATACAGAAGACCACTGAGAAGAAGTCATATTGTTCCAATTAAGTTTACATGGACTGATACCTGCACTTCTGATTATTATAAAGAGGAAGAGATCCTTCCTCTTTATGATAGATTCCTTGATGTCAGTTGACATGCAATAAGATGTTCTTTCAAAACTCGTTGTTGGATTGCATTCGTTTCTCACTAGCAAAATTTACACGCTTCACAGAACAAGTTTTTCCACTTATTTAGATGTGAAAAGGTTGTAAAAACAGTACCAGAAAAGCTATCAAACCACGTAGCTTGTTACATTATGATCTTAGCCCAACTTTTACATGTATTAGGAAACTGTTGTCAGAGGTCAAAGCACAAACACACCTATCGTTGCAGGCAATTCAGGATCAAATGTGTCATCCACAAAACGCAACATC